TTTTTGAATAATTCGCTCATCTCTAGTAGAAAGTTTTTAAAGCATCACACATGGATAATTTTTAAGTACCGCAGTGTCACGCCATTCCACGAGCGTGCACAATTTTAAAGAGTGACATGTTTGGTATATATTTACTCGCCGTAACATCCTCTTACATATTTTACAAAACAATTGGGGTATATAATTCTTTTTCTTTTTTTGTTTTAGTCAAGGTGTATTTTTTTCCAAAAAATGTATATATTCATTTTTAAAAACTGCGCATTTCGCTTTTTCGGCCAATTGCATTTTGAATTTTCGGTAACAGAATTTTCATTTCAGTGCCCCACTAGTAAAAACATTTTCTTGGTATCCACTTGAGTTTTTCAGGTCCCATTCCTTTGCGTTTTTTGAGCATGCTCTTGGCACTACTTTGCCACAAACTGAAGCATACTGATAGGATGAGTTATACCTGCTGTCTTAGAGTTCTGTTGTTACCAGTGTTCTCCTGTAGGCAACAGTATAACTGGCCAGTATTTGATTTCCTATGTCCCTCATTGGGCTCCAAAAAAGGATTTTATGGTGAGAACAGATATCCGAGTCCCAGCACCACACAGGGTCACATCACAGCTCTGGAACCTCAAAAAGCATTGCTGTGAAATAAGTGTCAAATGAACACAACCAAAGTTTATGTGCTGGTGTAATTATCCTCCTAGGTATAAATTTAAAGGGAACCTGTACTTAAATGTTGGCTGCTATTGCCAAGCTCCTTCTGAAAGTGGTAGTGTTTTTTCTGTCATGCTTTTTCGGTGGCTTCAGTAGTTTGGGTCACTGACCTGAAACCTACGTGCAGGTTTGAAAGTCTAAACTTCTGATCTGTGTATTCAGATGGGGGGGGGGGGGGGGGGTGCAATGTCAGCTTATGGATTTTCTTCCTATAAGGTAAATCAAGGAGTTGTAGCCTGATGTACTCGCTGCCCCTATAGTAGGTGACATCAGTCTTGTGTCTTTTGGGGTCAGCAATAGATCTAGTGTCCACAGTCCTCACGTCAGTCTCCATTTCCTCTGTACAGGCCATGACTGTAGATGTCCAGTTGCAGCACTATGAGATGCAGCAGAAGCAGCTTGTGCCACTGTACCAAGAATGGGAGAATCAGTTCAAGAAGTGGCAGGAGTTACTGCAGACCTACCCCCACAAGGATCAGCTGCAGGAGTACCAAGTTCAGTGGGCATCCTGGCAGACCCACATAAAATCGACGAAGACTCATCTAAAGGACAAAATTGCCTCACTGAAAAGCTTAAAGCAGCAGTTTGGTGGCAGTCACTATATAGGAGGCATTGCCATGGTACCCCAGTACCCAACATATTCGCCAGTTATGTCCCCGGCTGTTCCTACAGCTCTGCCCACAGGAGTGAGCATACAGCCTCCCTATACCGCTCCCGTGGCACCAGTGTATGGTCCTGGCCCACCTCCCTCTCTCCCACCTGCAACTACATATTCTGAAGCTACGCCTCCTCTTCCACCTGTGACTGCTCCACCTCTTCCTCCGTCATCCAGTGCTCCACCCCCTCCACCACCTGTCAGTTCCCCCTCAGCCGACGTTTTACAACCACCTCAACCACCTCTACCCCCTGCCACCGATACCCAGCCACCCCCTCCAGTAGGAGCCTCTGCCCCAGAACCTGAAACCACCTTATCTGTTCCCATGGCTGCATCGTCCACTTCAGACAGTACTCCTGCCGCAATCACCAGCTCATCTGTCATGTCATCTGCACCCTCCACAATGCCTCCAGCAGCAACAGATCCACCAGTACCTGCAGGATCATTCATTCCTGGAAATCAGACTCTATCTAGCGGACTGTCTTATCAGGCACAGCAGACTATGAAGAATGTTAAACCACCACTGGGCCAGAGTGCCCCTCCCGTGCCTTCCCATAATCTCCCATCTGAATTTCCTTCTGGCTTGGACAAGCAAAGTGAACACACCAAATTTTCAAACCCACCTGGGCTTCCACCTGTCCCTGATCAGGAGTTGACGCCCACTGTCCCTCCCACGCCTCCTAGCATGATGGCAGGGGGGCCATACGAAGGGCCCAGAGAATCAAGGTAAGTGTGTGTTTATAGCTAAAGAATAATCTTTGCCGAGAAGGCCTCATGTTTAGAAAATGAGAGCTGTAATGAAAGAATCTGATATGCTGCTATATCACCAACAGTGTGTTCACCATGGTGTCTGTAGAGTATTCCTTCTGTGTTCAGAATGGTGATCTGGTCAGTACTGTGTAGGAGGATTCAAGAATCCCAGCTAGAATTCCAGCTCTGTACTAAAAGAATCATGAAATGTATGCCTACAGAGATCTGTTTTATGGCATCCGTATGCCGCACTCAATGCTAGCATGAGATAAAAGTAGAAGAATTACCTCATCAGTGAGCTGCTGCTCCTTCGCTGTCCATTCACAAGGTTTGGTGGGTTCTGAACAAATATGATCAATAAAAATCCCATGTCAAAACAACGAATGGTTCGGTTTCCTATTCAAGCCTGGTTTTGCCCCCTTAAACCTCCCTGTGAAGCAGCGAAGACCAGTAGGCTGGTAGGAGGTATGGGGTGGCTTCTTGTACAGAAATTGTGAAGTACATGCAGTTGAGCTGCTGGCCCCTTTCAACCTGCTGAGTGTTCGCACTGAAGTCCAACTTGAACATATAGCCCTGTAATGCTGTCCACAGGCTCAAATAGGTCAGCCACCCCAGAGTCCTCTATAATGGAACAAAAAGAAAAGGGGGCACCCACTAAGTGTAGCATTAAAATTATCCACTTTGTTAAAATGGCTACTTGGCCTGAGAAGAGAGCAGGGAGCTCTGAAACCTGTAACTGCGCCCACAGGGCAACCCATGTGACATGACTTCCACAACTGCTCCCCTGTGCACTCCAGGATGGTTACTGTCATTTCGTGTTTCAGTTTCCAGCAGTCCTGAGTCTTCCCCACAGAGCATGGTGTCTGCACAAGTTGGAAGAGACGTCAGTGGGGCTGACAGCGGGTATTTGTGTTTATATGCCTTTTTATATGTTAACCCAGTGAGTTGCCAATTGTAACTTTAAGAAAGTGGATGATTTTATTGCTATGCTTAGTGGGCGCACACTTTTTCTCCCTTTTTTCACAGCATTGTCAGATTCATATTGTGCAGAAAATATAGGAAATGGAAAAGAGCCAAAAGACATGTATTAGTGTGTGTCTTGTTTTCTGTCTGCTGCACTATCAATTTGTATCTTGGTTTTTGCAGATTTCCAGCACAGGGACATGGCTTTGCACCTCCCCATTTCCCCCCTCCTGGGTCACTTGGTTTCCATGGCTACCATCCTACACACGACAAGGAGAACCAGCACTGGACAAATGAAAATAAAGACCAGTCCACCCCCGCAGACCCATCCAAGCAGTATTTAGAAACTAGTGATCATATGGTTCCAGCTAACAAATGGGACAGGCCAAAAGACAATCCTAATCAGTCCTGGGAAAGACCTAAACCACCTCATGTTTCAGAAACAGAAGCCAAGGAAATGTCTGATTACCCTCCTGGACCAGTGTCAGATAGAGAATCAAACTACCCAGCGGAAATGTGGAATAGGCCTGATGGTCCTCAGTTTAACAAGAGGGGTAGTCAAGGTGATAACATGGGAAATAAATGGGATCAACCTCCTGAGAGTAGGTGGAGTACATCTAATGAACAGTCCAGTGATAGGCGGAGCAATTTTCAAGACAGGTGGGGTGTAGAGAATTCGACCCCTATGGACAGATTTGGGAATACCCAGAGTTCTGGACCGAACAGGTTTGGAGGTCCTGAAGTTGCTCCCTATGAAAGATATGGAGATGGGATGGGTCCACCATATGACCAGCATGGTGCTCCTGAAATTCCTTTTCAGGATAGGTTTGGCCACCCTGATGGTTCTCAACGCTTTAGGTACAATGCACCAGACCTGCAGGCAAGGGGTAGAGCTAGATTTCCTTCTATGCCACCACGGGGCAGGTTTCCATTTCCTGAAAGCCATCCTAGACACAGGTTTGGTGCTCCAGAAGGTCGACCATCGAGTTTTGGCTATCCTGAGACTTTCTCAAGAGACCACTTTGGGGGCCCTGAGCTGCCATCTCAGGACCACATGGGAGGCCCGGAGCAGCCACTTGTTCGTGACCACTTTGGAAACTCCGAACAACCACCACCTCAAGAAGGCTTCAGAGGTTCTGAGCAACCACCTTCACAGGAACGCTTTGAAAGTCCTGAAGTTTCCTCATATCAGGAAGGCTTTAGAGACCCCAAAATGCCACCTCCCCGTCACCAATTTGGAGGATCTGATATTCCTACCCCTCAGGACCAATTTGGTGGTCCTGAGCTACCTCAAGCTCATAACCGCTTTGGTGGCCCTGATGTTCCTGACTGGCGTAAGGGCCCTGGGATGCCCCCTCCTCCTGTGGACCGTTTTAAGGGCTCTGGGATGCCCCCTCCTCCTGGGGACCGGTTTAAGGGCCCTGGGATGCCCCCTCCTCCTGCGGACCGTTTTAAGGGCCCTGGGATGCCCCCTCCTTCTGCGGACCGGTTTAAGGGCCCTGGGATGCCCCCTGCTCCTGGGGACCATTTTAGGGGCCCTGGGATGCCACCTCCAGGGGACCGGTTTAGGGGCCCTGAGACGTCCCCTCACCCTGAAGATCGTTTTAGAGGCCCTGAGATGCCCCCTCATCTTGGGGACCGTTTTAGAGGCTCTGAGATGCCCCCTCCTCCTGGGGACCGTTTTAAGGGTTCTGAGATGCCCCTTACCCCTGAAGACCGTTTTAAGGGCCCTGAGGTGTCACCTGCTCCTGGAAACCGTTTTAAGGGCCCTGAGGTGTCACCTGCTCCTGGAAACCGTTTTAAGGGCCCTGAGGTGAAACCTGCTACTGGGGACAATTTTAAGGGTCCTGAGATGCCCCTTCCATCTGGGGACAATTTTAGGGACAGCGAGATCCCTCCTCCTTCTGGGGATCGCTTTAAGGGCCCAGAGATGCCTCCTCCTGCTGGGGATCCTTTTAAGGGCCCTGCGATGCTTCCTTCTCCTGGAGACCGCTTTGGTACCCCTGAGATGTCCTCTTCTCAACAACAGAAAAGATTTGGGGATTTTGATGGTCCGCGTCGGGATAATTGGAGCCATGCTGATAAAGACAATTTTGGTGCTGCAGATATTCCCTTACATGACAATCGAGATAACCGGGTTCCCTTCAGTGATAGGTGGGGCTCAGGTGATAGAAAAGGGAGACCTGACTGGCCACGGGGGAGAGGTGATGGGGGGAATAGGCCTCCTTTGCTGGGAGATTCTCCTTTAGAGAAGTCTGAAATACAGGGTAGCACTTCAAATGTTCCTACTAAAAGTTATCAAAGCCAATTCAAGAAGCACATTTTTAAAGAGACAGATGTCTCTCTAAGTGCTGATTCTTTTCCTGGTGATCAGAAAGATTCAAAAAAAGAGCAGCAAGATGTTGAAATGAAACAAGTGGATGAGCCCCCGAAGGATGGTGCACCTAAAAAAGCAGATGGTTCAGCTGTCCAAGATGCTTCAAAAACTGAAACCTCACCACCTTCTGAGATGCACAAACCAGTGGAAGCTGCAGATACCAATAAAGATAAAACAAAAGCTTCAGACTTGCCTAAAACTGATCCATCGGGTGACCAAACCTTGCCTGACCTGAGTAAAGTAAATGAGCCATTGTCTGCATCATCGGTTCATTCAGATGCATCAAAGGGTACTGGTCAAATAGGGAATACAAGTACATCTGATAAGCGTGAAATAGATTTGCCTGGTCTCAGCAAGCCTATAGTGACACAGACTTCAGCTCCCGAGGCTGCTAAATCAAATGTCCCAGTCCCTACCCTATCCATGGCCAGTAAGCCAGAAGAGCCTACTGATAGTTCACGTTCCTTAGGAAAACAGGATGCTTTTCAGATTTCTTTCCCTAGTAGGTCAGGTGGTCTGCTCCCCACTCCTACTACTGGGATAGTTGGCCCTTTTCCACCCTATGCCACTCCACCATTCAGGCCACAAGCTCCTCATTCAATGCCACCTGTTAGGCCAGGTGACCCTTGGGCTCCTCCAGTTAGGGCAGTTGACCCTTGGGCTGCACCTGTTAGGCCAACTGGACCAAGGGGAGCTCCAATTAGGCCGGGTGGGCCAAGGGCAGCCCCTCCAATCAGGCCGGGTGGGCCAAGGGCAGCCCCTCCAATCAGGCCGGGTGGACCAAGGGCAGCCCCTCCAATCAGGCCGGGTGGGCCGAGGGCAGCTTTTCCAGTTAGGCCGGGTGGTCCGAGGGCAGATCTTCCAATCAGGCCAGGTGGGCCGAGAGCAGCTCCTCCAGTTAGGCCAGGTGGGCCAAGGGGAGCTCCTCCAGTTAGAATGGGTGGACCGAGGGCACCTCCTCCCAGTTAGAATGGGTGGGCCGAGGGCAGGTCATCCTATTAGACCTGGTGCTCCTGGGGGACCCTTTTCTGCTTGGGAAGATCCTCTAGAAAGAATGGATCAAGGTGAGGACAGTGACATTTATGATCCTTCCAGGGGAGCTGATCCTATGTGTGAGGACCCCTATAACGAGGAAGATGAAGAAGCTGTAATGGGGGAAAATTATTCACATGGTCCAGAGGGTCGTCATGGCAGACCAGAATTTCCTGAGGAAGAGGATGATGATGCAGGAGGTTATTTCCACAATGAGCCAGGCAGGCCAGGTGGCTTTAGAGAAGATGATGCATCCTTTGAGCCAGAACCTTTTGCGCAGGATTGGCCAGAAAATTATGATGTGCGATTTGATCACCGTGGGAGAGGAAGAGCAAGAGGGTTTATGCGTGGTCGACCTCCACCCAGACCAGGTAGTCGTGAGGTGATGGATGATTTAGATGACAGAGGCTTTGAGCCACGAGGGCACTTGCCAGAGGAGAGACCTTCATTTAGAGAAGGTTTGAATGAGCCACCGCCATTTGGCCGAGAGCCTTTCCCTAGAGAACCAAGGTTTCCTGATAGAGAGAGATTTTCTGCGGATCCACCATTAGAGGCACGAAGAAGGGATTTTGCACTAGAGGAAGGGAGGTTGGATGATTGGGAAAGAGAGAGATTTTGGAGAGCTCGTGAATTAGATAACCTACGAGATCCATTTCTGGATATATATATGAGAGATGAACGACTGCCCTTACGGCCACCACACCTTCCTCATGATATAGATGTAAGACGTGATCCTTGGTATGATCGATATCTAGACAGGGACCTAGACAGAGTTATAAATCACAACAGGCTAGAAAGACCTTATGTATTTGAACTGGATCTTGATAGAGACTTTTCCAGGATTCCAGAAGACCTTGATTTACCACTTCGGGATAGAGAGAGGTTGTCAGCTCGAAGGCCTTTGTCTCCACATCGTCCATATTCTCCTGTCCGAGCACGTTCCCCTCTACCTCCACTCCCACCAATTGAGAGATATTTGGATGATAGGTGGAGATTGGATAGAGAGTTGTCAGATAGAGATTTCCGTGATCGTGGTGAGCTTCGTATTAGAGAATATCCAGAACGCCCTCTGTGGCATGACGACCGAAATCCTGATTTGCTTCCTGAAAGATCAGAATTGGAGCTCAAGGATGGTCGATGGTATCCACGTGAAGGAAGAGTGAGCGAAGGCCCGAATCCACTTGAACCTCAACTTCCTGTTGATTCAGCTTCAGGGGCTCTTCCTGAACAGCCAGGGTTACCAGGAGGAGAGCCTGGCGCAACAGGTGTTCTAGCACTGAGTCAGCGACAACATGAGATCATTCTGAAAGCGGCACAAGAGCTGAAAATGCTCAGGTGGGTAATGCCGGTGCTAACACAGATCCTTTTTTTTTTTTTTTTTTTTTCCCTTTATATCCCTGTGTAAAGAAGATTTTTCTAAAAGTTCTTATGCTCCACATCATCTAAAAAAGAGTGCTAAAGGAAATATAGGAATTTCATGAATAGTTCTGTGAATTGTGCATTTAATTTTCTATTTGATTTGTAAAGGGAGCAGAAGGAGCAGCTGGATAATTTGAAAAACTTTTTTGGCGATCCAGAGCCATCAAACTCGACTGGAAAAATGGCTGCTGTTCAGGCCAGTGGGAAACTACAACAGGTAGGTTTTAGTAATGTATGTCTTAAAGCAGAGTTCTAGTTGATTTAAAAAAAAAAAAAGTCATCAACTACAAAAACTGTAGCTGACTTTTAAAATAGACACCTGTCCCACGATCCAGTGGTGTCCTCACCATGTCGTCTCTACCTGGCGCCGGCATTTTCAGTGTGGGCACCCGGCTGCGACAGCTTGCGGCTTCACAGCCGGGTGCCCACTGCACATGCGTTGGTAGCGCTGCGCTTTATGAATGGCCCCTGTCTGTTTCCCAGAAGAATGGACCTGTCACATGTCCCATAAGACTACGGGGAGGACAACTTCTGCTTCCAATCGCCTTAGGTGATCGCACCAGGTACCTGTCAAATTCGGGTACCCGATCCCCAAAGGTGCCAATCCTTTACGGGAAGCGGGGGACAATGTATTAAAGCGGAACTTCCCCTTTTTGGTGGAGCTCCAATTTTAAGATTGTAGTGACTCTGGAAAATCCTGAGCATTGTGTAGAGTTGTGTAATTATGGCACAAGTTTATCATTGGTTGTCAATGTTTGGAATACAGAAATGTAACTTGTGTGGGAGGCACTGGGAGCTGGAGCAGGTTGAGGCGTGGGGGGGCTGGAGCGCGAGCAGGTTGAGGTGCTGGGAGCTAGTAGCAGGTTTAGGCGCTGGGGTCTGGAGACAGCTGATTTATGGGCTGTGGGCTTGTAGTCAGAGTAGGTGTGGGCAGGTGGGGGGCTGGAGAGAAAGTGTGGGGGGGGGGGTCTGGAGAGGGGGCTAATTTAGGGCTTGCATGGGCTGGAGAGGGAGGTGTTTCAAGAGCTGGCAGTTAGAGGGGGAAGACGTTGAGACAGCTTGCGTGAGAGGAGAATGCAGAGAGTCGCAGAAGTAGAATAATGCTCTTGCAGAGAATCATTGGCAAGTTAGAAAATAACAGCATCACCCTCTGATTATGCAGGGTACCAATGCTGTGTGAATCACAAAACTGGCTTAACAGAATTACAAAACATTTTGCAACTGATTAGCCCTAAATGTATGTATTTGTGGACTTCACGTTTGACTGAAGTTGAGCTTTAGCAATAGGAGATTTTGAAAACACTGATGATGAGTTTTTGTTTCCTGTCAGCCACTACCTAATGTTCCTGTGACTGGAATGGACCCAGCATCCTCCACTTTGGCATCTTCAGTAGGTGGTAGAGCTATTGGTGACCAGTTCAGTGATCTTTGGGAAGAAGAGAGGAGGGGGGGCCATTCTGCTGGCCTTCCTGTGGGTTCCAAACTTTCTGGAATTCACCAAACTGTGGACTATGCTCATGGCCGAGGTGAGGAGCCCCTCCATTGCCATCCTCTATACACCCCATTACTGTCGTCCTGTATCCCCCATTTTTGTCCTCTGTATGCACTGTCTGCTGTACTTGGGACCACTTCATTACTATCCTCTGTACGTGCTATGTGGTGCACTTGGGACTCATGCTATGTTTCTTTCTTAGAGCTTGCTATTGGGAAAGTGGAGCAGACTCCCTACGGTGAGCGGGTTATGCTACTTCCAGAGCCAGCAATGGACAGAGGTGGAATACCCCCCTTCCAGAAAGGTGAGTGCTACGCTGAAGACCATCTGTGAGTTCTAGACAGACATGTAGCTCCCTCCACACTGCATGCGTGTCACACTGTCACTGTTACCCTTCTGTCAGTGGTACCTATCTGTGCTGCTTGTGTGTCCATTGTATGAGCACCGTGTGTCACACTATAACGGCTTCCCCTTCTGTGATCTAGCCTGTCTATGCTGCATGTGTGTCACACTATACCTGCCAGGTCACCTGCAGTGCTACATGTCACACTATAACCCTTGTATCATGTCACCAGTGCCTGCATCACATGGGTCACTTCATAACTGCTCCTTGAGTGTGACAGTTTTATAACCACTTCAGCTCTGGAATATTTTACCCCCTTCATGACCAGGGCATTTTTTTTGCTATTCAGCACTGCACTTCTTTAACTGTCAATTGTGTGGTCATGCAACACTACCCGCATTAAATTTATATAATTTTTTTCACACAAATAGAGCTATCTTTTGGTTATTTGATCACCCTGGGTTTTTAATTTTTTATTATATAAACAAAAAAAACCTGAAAAATTTGAAAAAAAAAAAAAAAAAACCCGCAATATTTTCAATTTTATAATAAAACGCATCCAATAAAAAATCTAATGTTTTCATAAACTTAAGACAAAATGTATTCTGTTATTTGACTTTGGTTAAAAAAGAAAAAAAAATCCCAATAAGTGTATATTAATTGGTGTATGCGAAAGCTATAGCGTTTACGAACAAGGGTATGTAGGTGTGTAAATATACTGGAATTTCATTTTTTTTTTTTTTTTTATACTAGTAATAGCAGTGATCAGCAACTTATAGTGGGATTGTGATGGTGCGGTGGGCATTCTGACACTAACTGACTGGGTGGGAACTGACTAAATGACACTGACATCTCCAGTGACAGTAATACAGTGATCAGTGCTGACAGTATACACTGACACGGTACTACTGACACTGGCTGGGAAAGACTTAACATCTAGGGGCAATCAACAGTGTGTCTAATGTGTAATGTGTGGAGTATGTGCTGCTTTTACTACTAATAATAAAATGGCAACACTGCTGCTCTCTGTTCAGAGCCCTGTTTGGCAACACAGGGCTCTTAACTGTCATTCGCTAAGCCAATCAGCAGGTCCTGGCCATAAATTATTGCTGTATTGAATACCGGCACAGAAGGGGTGGCATGCGCCCCCAATCTGAAAATGCCAGATCACAATTATGTACATGATCTGGCACAGTAGGGCCGCTCTGCCACAGTAAAACTGCAGTAGGCGGTCTGCAGGTAGTAAAAGCTTGTTTGGCTGTACTCCTGTGGATCACAAGAGTGCAGTTTGTTTTGCACTCCTGTGACCCGTTTTTAGCCAGCAGCGGGCTAAAAGTCCGCTGTCGACTGATGTCAATCAGGCAGTCCATGCTGGGGAAAGATCCAGACTTTAAAGTCGGGATCCATCCAGATCCCTGGACTGGCACCTGGCTCAGCCTCTCAGCGATACGCTGAGAGCCTGAGCCAGCTTCTGCCCCTTCACAGCCCAGTGCTCCAGTGAGCATGGGGGCATGGGCAGAGCAGAGAGTAGCACTGAGAATTGAGTGATCAGCGGTCTTTAATCACTCAGTTCTCAGTCTTAGCGCCAGCTTGGGATAAATACAGTATTGGACTGAAGCTGCTTCCACCTAGGTAAGTATGATTTTATAATAATAAAAAAAAGACAAAACCAAACCCTCATTCTTTTAACTGCACCCCATTTTCTAGCAGTTTCCTTTTCATCATGCATGTCATCTGGTATTGTGTACGTGTTTTGTGCCTTTTCTTTGTCTTCCCTACCTCCAGAAATAGGTCAGCACTGAAGCTTTTCCTCCTTTTTAGATTTTTTGATAGATTCATTTGACCGTGACTTCAGGGACCGGGATCCCTACTATGAAAGGATGAAAAGTGCAGATCGGCGAGATTATGATCGGGATCGCTTGGATAGAGACCGAGCTGACCATGAGAGGGATCGTGATCGTCATTCTAGAGATGACCGGTGTGTGATCATCTTTTGAGTTCAAAGCTTATCAGGGTGTAAAAAAAAAAACAAAAACATAAATTTCACAATCGCCTGCATACCTTTTTGTAGGTCTTCCTACCGTGACAAAGATGGCTCGAGCCGACGTAGCACCTCAGACAAACCACCATATGATCGGAAGGTGGATCGGCCGGGATATGAGGTGGCCCCCCCATCGTATGGAGGTAAGGCTGACTGACACACTACGCCTGTGTCTTATTAGGAGGAGCAGAAAATATACTATTTGTGTCTTGGCAGGAAGAGGTAGGAATTTCCCAGAGGAACGACCTGTCATACCACCTCCCTTGCCTGTCCCGCCACCAGAGAAGAAGCCGGAGACCAAAAATGTAGACGATCTTCTTAAGAAACCTGGACGAGAGAGTCGGCCTGATCGTGTAAGTCAGCTTTTATACCCATATATCTCTGCTGTGTATTTCACTATTTTTTATTCCATTAATGAGCACAAATTGTCTCTTTCAGATTGTGGTAATCATGAGGGGTTTGCCAGGAAGTGGGAAAACGCACGTTGCCAAACTGATTAGGGTGAGTGCGTGTTCAGTTCCAGCAGGGAAAGATTCCTACCTGTCAATGGAGGACTTTGCCAGCAGGGTAGACTCTAGACTATCTGTCAAGAGAGGCCCTGCTAGCATAAAGGCGGCTTCTATCTGTCACTGATACTGATAGCTCTGTTAACAGGAGAGAGACTCTTACTGGTACCTGGTGGCCAGTAGGGGGAGACTTATTGATCACTGGTGTCTGCAAGGGGAGACCCCTATCAGTCTCTGGTTTCAAGGTATCATATTGATTTAGTCAAGGACTGAATCGTCCAGTGCTTATCTGTTCCTGTCCTAATTTATGACGCTAGCTTTGGAATGTGCACACACTGGAAGAGACTCACGCTGACACACAAGTTCAGTCTATGAATACTTCTAGTTTATTATAATGAGAAAGTGAGCTTATATATGCAAAATGATGCAAGAGTCATGTGACAACAGCATAAGCATTATATTAGTCTTTGGTCATTTCCACACGAAAACAATCTCCGTCATGGTATAGGTGTGATATTCTTCCAGGCCTTATCTTATAGGAAAACAACATTCCTTTGTTTCAAGTTGGCATGGTGGGAGGGGGGCAGTGTGTGTGAGCAGACATTTCTTAAGCAAAGATTTCTTATAGTACCACAAAGCCCAGCAGGCAGAAAATATTCACACAACATATGTATTAAAGTATAAAAGTAAATATTTATAAAACTTCTAGAAATAGCGTGTATATATATATATATATATATATATATATATATATATATATATATATATTCAATAGGAAACGAAATAGGCATTTTACCAAATCCATCACAATATAACCCATTGACTGACTTCAGGACATTTCCCCATGTTGTAGTCTATGGGTTTCCCTGGCATGTAACAAAACAGGAACCCCCCCTCACTGTCTTCTTTTATGTTGTTACACAGGACAAAGAGGTGGAGTATGGTGGATCTGCCCCCAGGGTCTTGAGTCTTGACGATTATTTCATCACGGAGGTGGAAAAGGTTGAAAAAGATCCAGAATCAGGGGGAAAAAAATTAAGACAAAGGTGAGTAGAGAGAGAGGTGAGGAAGGGGGTCCTTTTGTACTCTCCCACACCGTGACACGCAATTGTTTTTGTTGCTTCAGGTTATGGATTATGAATATGAGCCAGAAATGGAGGAAACGTATCGTAGCGGCATGTTGAAGACTTTCAAGAAAACTCTGGATGATGGCTTCTTCCCGTTCATTATACTGGACAGTATCCATGATCGCGTGCGCCATTTTGAGCAATTCTGGAGTGCTGCCAAGACTAAAGGATTTGAGGTGCAGTGAATTCACCAATTACTTAAAACCTATTATATTTCATGGCACCCCAGGACTGTCCTATTATATTTTCTTTACTAAAATCCCCTAGGATTGTCCTTTCAATTTCTCATTATATAATGCCCAGCTACCCCCCCCCCCCCCCCCCCCCCCCCCCCCCCCCCCCCCCCCCCCCCCCCCCCCTGTCTGTCCTTTTACATACCATAATTATAAATGAAACTTCAGGATTGTCATTTGCATTCCCTTTTATATAATGGGCCCCTCCAGGGACTTCTAGAACTTGCGTTATTGTATTATAACCATCCAGGATAGCCCTTTACATATACCCCGTTATGTAATGACACCCAGTACTGTGCTTTACATTCCCCATTATATACTAACCCCCTCCAGGACTGTTCTTTACATTGCCCTTGGTAGAATTGTCCCCCCTTCCCAAAGACTTTTCTTTCATTTCCTATTTTATAAAATCTGCTCTTACTGCTTTAGGTCTATCTAGCTGAGATCACTGTGGACACACAGATCTGTGGAAAGCGAAATGTGCATGGCCGAAAGCTGAAGGACATAAATAAGGTAAATACTGTGGGAGTATCTGCTGATCCCTGCTGTGTGGGGTCTGGTCCGTTCCTTACCCTCTTCTTCTCTCCCTAGATGTTTGACAATTGGGAGCCGGCTCCACGTCACATGATCCGCTTGGACATCCGATCTTTGCTTCAGGATGCCGCAATTGAAGAGGTAATTATCTGGGGGGGGGGGGGGGGGTGACATCTGGACTCCACCCTAAACTGTGTGCTTCCTCCTACTGGGAATATTAGGGGAGGAGAAGGTTGGATTCCTGGTTGTGGGATGTGGTGGGAAAATGGACATTTTGGATTCCTGGCTGTGGGATGTTGAGGATTCTTGTTCATTAATATCTTGTATGATAGCTGAGCTGCTTGTGTCTGACTCCACAGGTTGAAATGGAGGATTCTGAGCCATCAGTGGAGCCACAAAAAGATGAGAAGGAGGCAGCTGAAGAGGACGACAACGATCGGGTAGGAGAGGCTGCAGTGTCTTGCAACGCACGGAGAACTGTAGGAGATGTTCTATATAATATATTTCCCGTGCATACTGAAGGTTTCCAAATAATACTTGATAAATCTTCCAGGACATATAGGATCCTGTTGCTGCCAGCTCTGTACCTGATATACCAGTTTACCATTTTACTACAGGCTTACTCCTTCCTGCCCCAACATCCTGTATGACCCTTAAATGCAGCCTGTTTTTTTGTCTATCTAATATCCGTCTCTCTTCCTTTCAGATCACCCCACACACCATCGCCTGTCTATTCACATCACTGACCCCCTTCTGCTTGTGTCATCAGCCTCTGTCCTTCCACCTGTGTCACTGTACCTTCTCCTGCCTGCTTGCCCATTTGTTCTACCGGAACTTCTCCTGCCTGCCCACCCGTTAATGTCACTGGACCCTCTCCTGCCTTCCTACCCATTAGTGTAACCGGACCATCTCCTGCCTGCCTGTTCATTAGTGTCACCGGACCATCTCCTACCTGCCCGCCCTTTAGTGTCATGGGACCCTCACTTGTCTACCTGCCCATTAGTGTCAAGGGACCCTCACTTGTCTACCTGCCCATTAGTGTCAAGGGACCCTCGCTTGTCTTCCCACCCATTAGTGTCAAGGGACCCTCGCCTGCCTGCCTGCCCACCCACCCATTAGTGTCAAGGGACCCTCGCCTGCCTGCCCGCCCACCCATTAGTGTCAAGGGACCCTCGCCTGCCCGCCCACCCATTAGTGTCAAGGGACCCTCGCCCGCCCACCCATTAGTGTCAAGGGACCCTCGCCTGTGCGCCCCCGCCCACCCATTAGTGTCAAGGGACCCTCGCCTGCGCGCCCGCCCGTTAGTGTCACGGGACCCTCTCCCGCCTCCCCGCCCATTAGTGTCACGGGACCCTCTCCCGCCTCCCCGCCCATTAGTGTCACGGGACCCTCTCCCGCCTCCCCGCCCATTAGTGTCACGGGACCCTCTCCCGCCTCCCCGCCCATTAGTGTCACGGGACCCTCTCCCGCCTCCCCGCCCATTAGTGTCACGGGACCCTCTCCCGCCTCCCCGCCCATTAGTGTCACGGGACCCTCTCCCGCCTCCCCGCCCATTAGTGTCACGGGACCCTCTCCCGCCTCCCCGCCCATTAGTGTCACGGGACCCTCTCCCGCCTCCCCGCCCATTAGTGTCACGGGACCCTCTCCCGCCTCCCCGCCCATTAGTGTCACGGGACCCTCTCCCGCCTCCCCGCCCATTAGTGTCACGGGACCCTCTCCCGCCTCCCCGCCCATTAGTGTCACGGGACCCTCTCCCGCCTCCCTCCCCCCGCCCATTAGTGTCACGGGACCCTCTCCCGCCTCCCCCGCCCATTAGTGTCACGGGACCCTCTCCCGCCTCCCCGCCCATTAGTGTCACGGGACCCTCTCATTAGTGTCCGCCTCCCCGCCCATTAGTGTCACGGGACCCTCTCCCGCCTCCCCGCCCATTAGTGTCACGGGACCCTCTCCCGCCTCCCCGCCCATTAGTGTCACGGGACCCTCTCCCGCCTCCCCGCCCATTAGTGTCACGGGACCCTCTCCCGCCTCCCCGCCCATTAGTGTCACGGGACCCTCTCCCGCCTCCCCGCCCATTAGTGTCACGGGACCCTCGCCTCCCCGCCCATTAGTGTCACGGGACCCTCTCCCGCCTCCCCGCCCATTAGTGTCACGGGACCCTCTCCCGCCCTCCCCGCCCATTAGTGTCACGGGACCCTCTCCCGCCTCCCCGCCCATTAGTGTCACGGGACCCTCTCCCGCCTCCCCGCCCATTAGTGTCACGGGACCCTCTCCCCCGCCTCCCCGCCCATTAGAGTCACGGGACCCTCTCCCGCCTCCCCGCCCATTAGAGTCACGGGACCCTCTCCCGCCTCCCCGCCCATTAGAGTCACGGGACCCTCTCCCGCCTCCCCGCCCATTAGAGTCACGGGACCCTCTCCCGCCTCCCCGCCCATTAGAGTCACGGGACCCTCTCCCGCCTCCCCGCCCATTAGAGTCACGGGACCCTCTCCCGCCTCCCGCCCATTAGAGTCACGGGACCCTCTCCCGCCTCCCCGCCCATTAGAGTCACGGGACCCTCTCCCGCCTCCCCCCGCCCATTAGAGTCACGGGACCCTCTCTCCCGCCTCCCCGCCCATTAGAGGGACCCTCTCCCGCCTCCCCGCCCATTAGAGTCACGGGACCCTCTCCCGCCTCCCCGCCCATTAGAGTCACGGGACCCTCTCCCGCCTCCCCGCCCATTAGAGACGGGACCCTCTCCCCCTCAGTCCGGGACCCTCTCCCGCCTCCCCCGCCCATTAGAGGGACCCTCTCCCACGGGACCCTCCCCGCCCATTAGAGTCACGGGACCCTCTCCCGCCTCCCCGCCCATTAGAGTCACGGGACCCTCTCCCGCCTCCCCGCCCATTAGAGTCACGGGACCCTCTCCCGCCTCCCCGCCCATTAGAGTCACGGGACCCTCTCCCGCCTCCCCGCCCATTAGAGTCACGGGACCCTCTCCCGCCTCCCCGCCCATTAGAGTCACGGGACCCCTCTCCCGCCTCCCCGCCCATTAGAGTCACGGGACCCCTCTCCCCGCCCCACGGGACCCTCTCCCGCCCCGCCCATTAGAGTCACGGGACCCTCTCCCGCCTCCCCGCCCATTAGAGTCACGGGACCCTCTCCCGCCTCCCCGCCCATTAGAGTCACGGGACCCTCTCCCGCCTCCCCGCCCATTAGAGTCACGGGACCCTCTCCCGCCTCCCCGCCCATTAGAGTCACGGGACCCTCTCCCGCCTCCCCGCCCATTAGAGTCACGGGACCCTCTCCCGCCTCCCCCCCCCATTAGAGTCACGGGACCCTCTCCCGCCTCCCCGCCCATTAGAGTCACGGGACCCTCTCCCGCCTCCCCGCCCATTAGAGTCACGGGACCCCCCGCCCATTAGAGTCACGGGACCCTCTCCCGCCTCCCGCCCATTAGAGTCACGGGACCCCTCCCGCCTCCCCGCCCATTAGAGTCACGGGACCCCTCTCCCGCCCATTAGAGTCACGGGACCCTCTCCCGCCCATTAGAGTCACGGGACCCTCTCCCGCCCATTAGAGTCACGGGACCCTCTCCCGCCCATTAGAGTCACGGGACCCTCTCCCGCCCATTAGAGTCACGGGACCCTCTCCCGCCCATTAGAGTCACGGGACCCTCTCCCGCCCATTAGAGTCACGGGACCCTCTCCCGCCCATTAGAGTCACGGGACCCTCTCCCGCCCATTAGAGTCACGGGACCCTCTCCCGCCCATTACGGGACCCTCTCCCGCCCATTCACGGGACCCTCTCCCGCCCATTAGAGTCACGGGACCCTCTCCCGCCCATTAGAGTCACGGGACCCTCTCCCGCCCATTAGAGTCACGGGACCCTCCCGCCCATTAGAGTCACGGGACCCTCTCCCGCCCATTAGAGTCACGGGACCCTCTCCCGCCCATTAGAGTCACGGGACCCTCTCCCGCCCATTAGAGTCACGGGACCCTCTCCCGCCCATTAGAGTCACGGGACCCTCTCCCGCCCATTAGAGTCACGGGACCCTCTCCCGCCCATTAGAGTCACGGGACCCTCTCCCGCCCATTAGAGTCACGGGACCCTCTCCCGCCCATTAGAGTCACGGGACCCTCTCCCGCCCATTAGAGTCACGGGACCCTCTCCCGCCCATTAGAGTCACGGGACCCTCTCCCGCCCATTAGAGTCACGGGGACCCTCTCCCGCCCATTAGAGTCACGGGACCCCTCTCCCGCCCATTAGAGTCACGGGACCCTCTCCCGCCCATTAGAGTCACGGGACCCTCTCCCCGCCCATTAGAGTCACGGGACCCTCTCCCGCCCATTAGAGTCACGGGACCCTCTCCCGCCCATTAGAGTCACGGGACCCTCTCCCCCCATTAGAGTCACGGGACCCTCTCCCGCCCATTAGAGTCACGGGACCCCTCTCCCGCCCATTAGAGTCACGGGACCCTCTCCCGCCCATTACGCCACCCATTAGAGTCACGGGACCCTCTCCCGCCCATTAGAGTCACGGGACCCTCTCCCGCCCATTAGAGTCACGGGACCCTCTCCCGCCTCCCCGCCCATTAGTGTCACGGGACCCTCGCCTGCCCACCAATTTTTTGCTGTGTCCTCGTCTGCCTGCTCACCAATTTTTGTCGCCGGACCCTCGCCTGCCTGCACATTCGCGTCACCGTACCCTCGCCTTCCTCGTCCATTTGCTTTACCAGCCTCTCCTGTCACACTTCACAAACCCTGCCCCTGCCTGCCATCCACATTCCTTGTGCCAGTGTGTTTGGGCTTCCGGACCCTCGCCCAGTCCTTACTAAGCTGTGTATGTTGGATTTGGTTCAGAGTGTAACAAGGCTTTGTGGGCACATTGTTGCACAAAAGGCATTTCTCTGCTGATTGCATGCTTCCTGTTAACACTTGGCCGCCCATCTGCCTATTCGCGTCACCGGACCCTCGCCTGCCTTGGTTGTCCATTCGCGTCACCGGACCCTCCCCTGCCTTGGCCCGCCCATTCGCGTCACCGGACCCTCCCCTGCCTTGGCCCGCCCATTCGCGTCACCGGACCCTCTCCTGCCTTGGCCCGCCCATTCGCATCACCAGACTCTCCCCTGCCTTGGCCCGCCCATTTGCGTCACCATAACCCTCGCCTGCCTTGGCCGCTTATTCGCGTCACTGGACCTTTTCCCGCCCATTCGTATCATCGGACCCTCGCCCGCCCATTTGCGTCACCGGACCCTCGCCTGCCTTGCCCATCCATTCGCGTCACCAGCCTCTTCTGCCACACTTCACCAGCCCTGCCCCTGCCTGCCAACCACATTCCTTGTGCCAATGTTTGGGCTTCCGGACCCTCGCCCAGTCCTTACTAAGCTGTGTATGTTGGATTTGGTTCAGAGTGTAACAAGGCTATGTGGGCACATTGTTGCACAGATGGTCTCCTGATATATAAAGGCATTCCTCTGCTGATTGCATGCTTCCTGTTAACCCTTGCAGTTTTTATTTCCTGTGACACAGGGCTATCTTCCGAAAAGCAAGTGGGAGATGGATACCTCTGAAGCTAAACTGGGTAAGTGTTGCCTGGAGCTGATGTCATTGCTAGGTAAACTCACATGCCGGGTGATGTCCCTGGATTGGGACTGATGTCACAGGCATTGATTGCTTATGGGGAATAGTAATTATATATTACAACACGTTCCACAGGAAACTATCTTGAATTGTCAACAATGATAAGAAATTATGAAATAGCCGGTGTCTGCGGAGACTGGCTGCTTCTCAGTGTGGTGAAAGACCAGAGTTAAAGCTCCGCCAATGATGGGGCAGGGTATACTGAATGGAAAGGCTGGACTCTTTAATGCGCATGCACCAGATTTTTCTATTTGGTATTTATGCAGTGTTCTGTATAAACATGTTCCTATATATATAAATGCTTGCAATGAACTTCTTATTTGCTCCCTTTTGCTTTGTTAAATACCCCATTAAGTGTTTTGTCATCTGTTCAAACAATACCTGTTGAACTTTCCAGAAATTTCCAGAGCTGGTAAATTCCGCCACTCTCTGCTCGTTCATAAGGAGGTGTTATATAGATGAGAAGAGGGTCTGTGTTCTTTGTAATTCCTCAGAAATGAAGTAGATAGGGCTGACCCCATGTGTTTTGGAATTCAGAGTTGAGAATACACCAAATGTCACGTCGAAGGTAGGAGCATACTATATTTGTGAAAGAGTAAGGTGTAAAATCGGCAGTTATTTTTGTGTGCTTGCAGCTTGTTTAAAGGGATATAACATGCTTGAATTCAGAGATTTACACTTTAATTTTTATTTTTTTTAACCCTGACACACAGTTAAGGTGGTTGCAAACCCTTACATATACCTACTGAAGTGACTGACATCAGGTGCCACACACAGATAAAACAATCCTTCTACATAAGTTGTACCTGCTTATCTGTAGCACTCTCTTCTCCATAGCCTCCTATAGCACAACATTTCTCAGCTAAAGAAGACAGAGGGTGGGGATCTGAAATCACACACTGCTCATCAGAGATCGAGTGTCATCTGAGACTTCAGTGAAGGAATGGACATGCCCCCCTTTACACAATCTCATAGGGGAGCATACAAATCTGAGGCTGTCAATCACCTACTGTGTGCTGGAGGGGGTGGGGCTGTCTCTTGGGGGGGTTTGGTGAGGAGTTAAATTCTCAGAAGTGACTCCTGGGGAAGGAGAGAGCAGATAGAAATCACAATAGGGTCTTTGGATTGAGGCAAGCACACACTATAGAAGATATGCTTTGCTAATTTTTCATTCAGAGGTTTACAACCACTTTAAATTCTCACTGCTGTCACTTGTGAACCGAAGGCTTCTTTCTCAGTGAAGTCTGTAGTGAATGGATGGGCTGTGTTCTCCGTGATTTAATTTTTGCTATTGCATATGTTGATATATTGGCTGCTGTGTTTATAGAGGTGAAATATATGCACTAAAAATGATAAATCTTGAAATTCTAATTATTGCTATTCTACCAATTGTGACCTCCTATGGGACTTTAAATGGCAAAACAGAATATATATTAAAAAATACAATATATATTTTATCATAAACTGTTTAAAATTTACATTAAAAAACACACTCTTGGCTGAGTATTACATCTTTTCTAATATTGCGAAACCTATTTGTAGCTGGCGAGAATTAAATCACAATATACCCCATACAAGTATTTCTTCACAGACTGTTCCCCAGCCACAAAATCCCAACGTGTTTCAATCTGTTCAAAAGGGTTTGTCAATGTACAAAAAGATATGCAACATATAAATAATCATATCCACAATGTTATTTGTATGTCTACTTCATTAATAGCCGTACTTATCTATTAAATGTGCTGCCACAAAAAAAACTGAGAGATGAGCAAATGCCTTATCTTTAGGGTCATAGACCCTCAGCAGTCATCAGGAATAGTGTATGCACAAGGGAATGCAGGTATGCCCAAAGCCAGATCACGGAGACAGCAACTCATGTAGCCTATGAAGTATAAAAGAAACCTTTAAATGAAAATATATATACACTAAGGCTGGGCCATAAATAACAGGACGGACCATAATAATCCTTAACACATTCATGCAAAAATAGGTCTTAGAACTTTATAAGTAGTTCATTTAGTTCTAGACAAGGTTTTAAAGAGTGAGGGCCTCTAAAGTAATCCGATAACAGGCTGCGAGCTACAATGAACTATGGGATTTTATGCCCCCCCCCCCCCCCCCCCCCCCCCGAACCGCAAATGTAAACTAGCCCTTACTGTCCTGAGCCTCCTATAAGGCTGCTTTCACATTGATGTGCTGCGGTTTACCTGCATCGCTGGTACAGTGCAGTGCACCTGCGGCTTTCCAAACTAAATCCACAAGATATAATAGAAGTCTATGGCTCTATGCAGCTAACCCGCAGGTGCACTACACCTATGGGTCAGTGTGAAAGCAGCCTAATAGCCCTTTTTTTTATGTGCTAATATGTCCATTGCTAAAGTGCAGTGTATGTGATGTTTAATACACTGACCTTTTTGTTCTTCCAGCTTCTGGTGGCATCACTCTCCATGCTGCTAGAAAGCTCCCAGATGAAGTGCACTTGGTATCACTCCGCATGGGACAGGATTCTGCGCTACAGAGGATGCATCATCGTATGTGTCTGCTGTTCCATCCGTAGCCGCCTGCTTCCTCCGCTGCCGGCTCCATGCACTCTGGTGCTCTGGGATAGCGGGTTGGCAAACCCGTTGATTGCAATCTGGGCTTGCCTACCCACCATCCCAGAGCATGGGCACGGTAAATGCATTTCTCTTCCTATTGGACGAGCCTTTTGTTCCAATCCCCCTCTGTGGCGGGTTTATGTACTTAATCCAATGCTACTAATTTTTTTGGCATTGTATAGTTGTGATGTTGGCAACTTTCACATAAACCCAGTAAATTTAAAGTGGTTCTAAAGGCAGAAGGTTTTTTTTGTTTTTTGTTTTTTTTTAACCTTAATGCATTCTCTTTTTGTGTACCCGAGCCCTATATCCATCCAACAATGTGCATGAGAGCAGAGGCTCTCTCACTCCTCACTGGCTCAGTGGTTCCCACTGCTGTCAAGCCCAGCCAGTGAATCCGGGGCGGGGCTGAGCCGTACTCAGTCAGTCTGTGTTTTGGACACACAGAGCTGGCTCAGGAGCAAGCCTGCCCAAGTGCCCCCATAGCAAGCGGTTTGCTTATGAGAGCCCATGGCAAGGGGAAAGAGCGGCGGCGGGGACCCTAGAAGTGGATGATCGGGGCTGCTGTATGCAAAACCATTACACAGAGCAGGTAAGTATGACGTGTTTGTTGTTTTTTTTTTTTTTTTTTTAAACTATGCTATTACAATCTCTTTAAGAATGAATAGATGACTAAATTGTAGTCTATAACAAAGAAATTGACACAAGGTTTTGTTTTATTATATTATTTATAATGTCAGCTGTGTTTTAAGAGAAGCAATTCTTCAGATTACCGTATATGTCACCTTAAATTCTTGCTGGTCAGAAGAAAAGCCCCTTTCCATTTGCAGCATTGTGAGATGTGTTGCTTGGTGGGACGTTGGAGGCAGGGTGGATTTGATTTAAATCACGATTTAAATCACTAGTCAGTAAGGCTTGATTTAAATCCTAGTTTTCTACATAAAGACTAATTCTTGCTGGTATAACTTTAATATACAAGTAGATGAAGATTTTTAGAATAACAACTTTTCATATTAGTTTTTTTATCCCCAGTTTAATAGGTTAATCATTCATATTTGGACAACTTTTCTGTTGTACTTAGGAAGGAGAAAAATAATCATTCCCTTAATAATAATTTAAATAGATTTATTCATCTGAAACAATAACATTCCAGCATATGTGATTTGCTTAAACATCCATGTTTGTAACTAATTTGGCTAAACAAAATATATATATTTTAAGAAACTTAGACTGTCAGCCCCTCCCCCTTACACTTAGTTTCACTTTCTTCTTGTGCAGATCTATTCCACTCCAAACAATCAGAAAAATATTGTTTCTCTTCTATTCACTGAACTTCTTGAAACTTAGCAGTGAAGGGGTTGATTCTGTATTCATAGGTTTGTAGAAGTTAGGATGAAGGTCTTTTTCTTAACTCTGTTCATGTTATAACATTTTTGCTGTGAAGAAGAGGCATGTGATCTCCGCTGAGTCCAATTCAGTTTTGAGAACTGCAAAAGTAAACTGAGCATCTGTGATAATATCTTGTAGGCAGAGAAACTGCCCAATAATCTTTCAAAAACCTCTGGAAGAGCATGACATTGTGAATGGATTCATGGAATTTATTTACCAAAAAAATTAAACATATACAGCCTTATTCTACATAATTAAAAAACTAATCTTTATTTCATGATGGAATAACCTTTGGATGGTAATATATTTTCCTCAAAAAGCATTTTATTCAAAAAAATCCGATTTAAATCAAAAAATCCGATTTAAATCAAAAAAATCAGATTTTTTTTGATTTTTTTTTTTTTTAAAAAATCATTGATTTTTATCCACCCTGGTTGGAGGAGTGAGACGCTCCTAGAAAGTGTCAATACCTGGCCAGAATCTCCCTTCATATCCATCAAGCGGGCTGCATACCGCACCATATCTTGGCCACTTTTTTTTTTTTTTTTTAAATCACATTACAGGATCAGTATCCATAGTATCGTAACCAATTACATAGCGGACTTCTACATCAGTCATGGACAAAGTGATGATTCAATTATTGATTACCACTTCCCATTTTCATATTTATGCACGGTTGCACACAGTACCTTATAGCCAGTTCACAGGCTTCTATGTTCCAACGGTGATTTGTAGAAAATGAGTTTTATTTGACCCCACACACACAGATCGTGACTGGCATAGAGAACTTTAAATTTATACAATCACACTACACACATGGTCATCTTTTAATACATTTTTTTTTTTTTTTTAAATCAAATTGGTTTGAGAAATCTTATTGTGATTTAAAGACAGAACCTTTTTCTGATTGGACGGGATATTTACACATCTGTGTATGTTGGGGGATTTCTATGCA